GGCAAATGTAGATACAGTAAGAATCAGTTGTGGAATGCATATAATGCATATTGTTTTTTCAAACTTTGAAGAGACAGCATTTGGCAGGTCACCTTCCTCAATAGGATTTTTGCGAACACCACAACGTATAATCTCCTATATTTAGCTTGGTATCTCTATGACAGATATGACTCAAGCAATAAAGGAAAACCTCTCAATATGAAATCAAGTTGGATTCAAAAGTTATATGACAGATTATTGGAATATCATTTCTCTCAATACTAATTGCCAATTTGGGATCGTTGGGAATATAAATTGCTTGCTGCAAAGCAATATTTAGCCCGGTGTGAAGCACAAATAGAATTTACGAACTGGTTCATTCAGGAGCTTGAGAATAATTAGAATACACTAGCCGCATATCTTTCAGATTGGTATATTTTAATTAATATTTATAAACTTAAATGCTTATTTTAAATCTATCTATTAATAATTTTCCTTATACTTACTAACTAGACGTTTATTTCGAGACTGACTCTTAAACAAAAAATTAAATATTCAAGTCAGTGCTTAGTTACATTTGGCAAGCACTTATATGAACCTTTGATATAATTTACGGTCAGAAAGGATCCTATACCCTGTATTCAAGTAGAAAACTATTTGGTTCAACTTCTACCCAGCTGACATGCACACGAAATGCTGGACAAAGTGAATGAGTGGATAAAGTTTTTGCACGAACTCTGTGAAAATTTTGACACATTCTTCGGACAAGAACTACTAATGGCACTTGAATCACTAAATAATGAAGAATTTAGTGAGCTCTTTGACAATTTGGAATGGGGAATAAACAAGGCATATGAAAGTTTTGTAAAATAGATGTCCTTGTGAATATATTTAGCGTTGTCAGTATGCCAGTTAGGTGGAAATTCTAGTCGTGAATTTGCACGGGCTTTTTATCATGTTACTTTACAAACTCTGTGGCTTTCGGTACCAAGCAAATGTGAAATAGAATTTGCAGAACAATTGAGTAATGATTTAGAGATATACAATAACATATTTGGTCTTCGGGAAGAACTACAAAATAATCTAGAATTTAAAAATGAGTTTCTAGAATTTTGTTTGAACCCTAATTCTAATGTTAATAAATATCCTTTGCTATATGGTTTTGTTAAAGAGCGAATTTACTTTATAATAGTCCACCAACAGCAAGTGGAAGGACTCTTTAATAAGTTAGATCTAAAGACCCACCCGAATATGACACCTACTATGAAGCAGTCAAAATTGCAGTTGTCATCCGGAGATATAGACCTAGAAAATATTACTTTGAGACTCAAAGAGACTCGTGCAAAATGTCAAAAACAGTTACCCATAATTTCAGAAAATGAGCAAAAAATATTTGGGAAAGAAGTCGCAACAAAAGTATTTTTTGATTTGTGTCAAAATTAGTAGCATTTTTTTTCGAATAGTAATAAATCTATATCTTCGTTTATCTAAAAAAAAGAAAAAAAAGCGAATGCAAATAAAGATAATCTAATCATATGTGTGTGTCTGCTTATCGTTATTGGCTAATTATTAGACACATGACCAGTGAATGTAATTGTTAATACGTACCAATAAAAAAAAAAAATCTACTATTAATTTTTATAAGGGACTATACATATATTTGATCTACATAGTACATTGGATACCCCACCGTGACGTAATCTAGAGCTCTAAATAACCCTAATTGCTCGGAAAACGCCTTAATCGAAGCCTTCCATTATTAGGGTTAGTTATAATAGTTTAGTTGGTATTAGTGGTTAGAGTGTGGTATTTGTATTATCCATATTCCGACCCATACTTATTCTGGAAGTTATTTAGCCTTTTTATAATGTATTTCCATTATCGCTATGGTAAGGCAAATCAAATTAGAGTTAGGGTAAGCGGATTTGTAATGTTAGCCATTTAGAGTAAATAGATTTTATAATTTTGGTTATTGATGTGTTAAATGATAAAATTATGGAAAAATAGTGGTCACATGAGTTACCATTGTGGAAATAGTAATTCCCCTCTGATATAAAGCTACGTAATCTTTCCTTCTTAAGATATAATTCTAATATTGTTCCTTTCATTCAAAAACCAGCCAGCAAATACATCAAAAATAAAAGTATGTTATGAAATTATTTAAAAATTATTGTACACCTAACCTAATATTTTATTAATTTTGCAGAAAAATTTCTTAACGAAAAAAAGACTACTCAATATGGTGACGTATACAACAGTTATCATTCCAACACTTTCAATTTTAAATTGTCAAATACCCTACAATTAACGCAGGGGATTTGTCGTAAAAACCAATGCTTAGATAAGCTGGCTGAAATGTGTCAAGAATTAGAAAGTGTTGATGACATCCCTACTAAGATGAGAATATTCAAAAGATACGTGAAATGCGGTAATAGAGATTAAAATTTTGACAAATTTGTATGTATATCTTTAGCGTTGCTAAAAGTTTGTTCAATGTAGTTGTCACATTCATATCAATATTAGTAATTCATAAAGTACTAATTTACTTATCGTTACCGAATCTATTAAAAAATTTAATCAAAAACTAGGTGGGTCTTTCTACAATCAATTCAAATTAAATAATCCAAATAAAATTCTTTATAAAGTAATAATATCGTTATGTTTTCATCATAATTGAATAATTTATAAAGATGTTTAATATAACCTTTTCGCTTACATGGAGAATGAGTATTTGAACCGTTAAAACTTCATATATTTTGAGATGTTTTAAATTCGGACCATCGTGTCTGTCAAACTTTTCTAAGAATAAATCAAATATGACATAAGGAACATTAATAAAAGTCAATTGATATAGAATCAATTGATATAGAGTAAGTGTCCCTTATACTATATTTGATCCCTAAGAATTTCTAATTGTGTGTCATAACGATTTTAAATTGAGTTTGGAGAATTATATTAAAAAGCGTATCTGCGGAAATGTTTTACTTCACTGCCCTGGCACGCTTCATGCTCGTAATAAGATAATCATCTATACATCTAAAGTACATACAGTAATTATAAGTAAATCTAAACCTTCAGCAAAAATGAGTAAAAAAAATTCAATTAATTATGATTAATTATCATCCCT